CCCTTTACAGGGGTGTAGAAGGACCAGTTCCCCAGGTCTGGCAGCACGAAGGGTCCCCGGGGGAGGGAGCGGGCACATCTGAGCCAGGAGATGCTGAGACAGAGCAGGCCTGGGACAAGGCAGGGGGGATGCAATCCTCCTCCTGCCTGCGCACCCCCTACCCTGCATCTGCTTCCCTCTCCGTGGCTCTCTCTCTCTCCCCCAGTGTCTCTGTCTTTGTGCTTTTATGTGTGCTCGGAAGGCGCAATTCAGAGTGGCCAGCCAGCTGGTGGGAATGGTGGCCGCTCACCCCATTCTCTCTGGCTGACAGGCATTTGTAGCTAAGCTGCCATTTCTCACCACATCCATTTGCTGGTATCCTGGAGGCTGCTGAGTGGGTGGCAGGATGCGTTTGGCTGTGCGTGGCTACATGTGCATTTAAAAGTATTTCATGTCAATTGAGGGCTCTTGGTCTGGTTTTAACTGGTTACTCTATGAAGTAGTAGAAAAATATCTCAGGCCTCAGCCTGGCACCATCTCTGCAGCCCAACAACGACCTGCTCAGCCCGCTGCGCACCCTGTTCCCGTAGGGGCTGGGAGAAGCCCGTCCGGGACTGTCCTCATGCCCCACCACAGTCAGGCGCAGCCGCACTCCTCCACAATCATGTTGGGCACATCCCGCTTCACAATGTTGTACTCGTCATCAAAGTACAGCATGGACATGGTGCTCAGCTTGGTGGGAATGCAGCAGGAGTTCACCGTGCCCGGGTTCAGGCCCCGCATGCGGTACTGGTTCACCACAGCCGTGTGGAAGGAGGAGGCAGAGCCGGGGACTCCGGCCAGGTAGGCTGGGCAGCTGCCCTCACAGTAGTTCCCATAGTAGCCGGTGGGCGCGATGATCCAGTCGTTCCAGCCGATCAGGCGGAAGTCGATGAAGAACTGTTGCCTGCAACAAAGGTTGGTCCGGCCATCGCACTCCAGGCCTCGCTTGCGAATACGGTGCCTGCTGTCCCCTAGCCGTGCTTGCACCACCACAAACGGTCGGTGCGACTCCTCGCCAGGGTCCACAAACACTGGCACCACGGCCAGCTCCTGGCAGCTGTCACACTGCACATCCAGGTTGAGTCGCCGCTCACCCCGCTCGAAGAGGGCCTGGATGGCCTCTGTGAGTGGGAAGGTGTGCCAGCCGCTACGCTTGAGGTCCACCTTCTTCTCCACCACATTCCACCTGTCGCCGTGGCCCTGCTCCTGGAAGTACACCTTGACCCGCACCTTCCGCCGGCTGCCTTTCTCCAGGACATAGGGCAGGAGTTTCAGGTAAAGCCACAGGCTGGCCTGGACCACAAACAGGTTCTGATTGCCTTCATTGGAGATGAAGAAGTACAGGCGGACCCGGGAGGAGGCGAGGCCATCTGCACAGAAAGGGGGAGAGCAGGCCAAGTTAATTCAAGGAGAACACAAGGCAACGGGGAAACGGACCCTGCTGCAGGATGCTGGAATGCGGACTCGCCACACAGCTGGAAAACGTTATTGACCAGAAATGCCGTTCCTGGGGCCAGGGCCTCTGACTGTAACCTGGGAGAGGCAGATGAAATCGTTTCCCATTGAGAAGCCCAGACCAGGTTGGAGCTGGAGGGTCCAGGCCTATAAAATCCTGCCTCACCTCTCCCAGGCCAGGGCTCCCTGGAGATAGGCTGTCAGGCCTCAAAGCCCAACAGAGGAACTTGTCAGGAGGCCAAGATCTTAACAAGTTGTTATGGGTATCTGTGAAATCTGAAAAACAAAACCAGGATCGCAGGGAGGACTTTGGGGTGGGTTGTTTCAGTAGGGTTTTTTTTTTTTTTTTTTTTTTTTTTTGTTTTTTGTTTTTTTTGTTTTTTGTTTTC